CGGCAGAAATAGGTAATGTGGCAGTACTTCCCTGGACAAACTCTTTCACAAGAAGCTCTACTGCTACTAATGCTAATTTCATTTCGTTACAAAAAACGCTTACATTCCGTTTCGCAGTAAAATGGATCTGTCAAAAACAGCACTCTGAAAGTGTTACTGTAATCAGCATGATAATGTGTAAACAATTGTTTAGTCTATCACCAATTGTGACATTTATGATCGCTGTGGCAAAGGTATAGAGCGGACGGGAGTGGGTTGATGTTAAACGAATTGGAACGGGGTGTTCGAGGCCCACAGATATTTCGGTTGGGTTGTGTTACTAACTCCATAAGTAAACTAATAACTTAATATATTGCCAACTTGACATTTACTGCTAAGAATTATTTGTTCTTGTTCTGAGCTTTGTTGGACACTTGTCGGCGAATATCTTTCAAATTGTATATCTTGTACAAGTTTTTTTTTTGGTTTGGCAAATTTGGCATAACTGATTTGGCAAATTTATCATCAATGGTTTGGCAAATTTGGCATCTCTGATTTGGAAAATTTGGCTTCTCTGATTTAGCCTTGTAACTATGACATCAACACTTTGACATTATACATTTTATGGAAAATATGCAAATTTATATGGGATGATTGCAATGCAAGAAATATAATATAATACGTTATTTAAATAAGATAATGCACTAACACTAGGGCTAACTTATAATAACAGTTGATAAACACACATTAACGAATAATTGGTTCCCAATTTGGTTTGTCAATACGATAACGACAAAAGAAACTGTTTTGTTGTAATATACTGGTATAAAAGTTGTCGGATAGGTCTATCAACTTTTATCCAACTAAATTCATTGTTTAATCTTTGAAACAACGTTGCAAAACATCATACGAACCCTGTTATCACCGTCTGTCGGTTTGTTTTGCGTGTATAATACGGCAAATGCTGAGTGGAGGCAATTTTGGATCTCAATACAAACCATTACGGCTGTCTCCCGCTATCGGGCAGAGATCGTGAAACTCTACGGGCTGTGCTCCTAACAAAGTTCTTTCGCATTCTTTCCTCGTGTCAGTTTCTTCATACATTACGTTTATTTCTGGTACTTTTACTTTAACTTGACCTGTTTCAAGGACATCCTCAATCTAAACGAGATAGACATCTCGAGGTCTACATTCGCCCAATAAATTTTGCACCATCAATCTGCTAACATCAATTCTTACTACACGAAGCCATTAAGTATTCATTTACTCAAAAAGTATTCCCTTTTCTATTTTGGTCACTACATCAGCTTCTTTATATTTGTTGTATCAGTTTTGAGCGCAAACTGGTTGATTATCCCTCAGACTCAATGCGCAAACACATAGATCCATTCTATCACGTCATGGCGTGTTTATACAGCGTCCACTGTAACCTTTGACAGACTACTTCCCTATGCTTTGCGTCACGTCATGGCCTGTTTACACCAAGTGTACTGCCGCCTCTTCGGCAAGCGACTTGACTGCCTTCGCAGAAATCACCAGATCATCATAAATATATGTTTACGCAGTGACAACAAATCGTTCAAAACATTCAACAAACTGATTGGGTAGGTATTCCCCGACCCCACAAGCATCGAAGTGGGATGCGGTTACCAACACGTTGAAGTCAGTCGCCTTAAGGATCCCTAAGGTAAGTAGAGCCTGCAAACGCACTGTGCCTTATTCGCTTTTTCATTTTCGTTTATTTTTGTCAGTAACTGGCCTTTTTGAAGACGTCCTCATCTGATAGGGATGATAAAACTCGAACTTCATTTTCATTCATAGCCGAATTAATTTGCAAATACGGACTTTTATAACCCAAGACAGCTTTGTGAACTAGACTTGACAGTCGATTAAGTTCAAATGCCTTTAGAAGGCCTCCATTTGTGAATCAAACGAACAGTTGATATCTTCTTAATAATTTAATTAAATATAGACGTCGTGTTGTGTTTACGACATTGTATTTTTTTCATTTTGGACTGCCACGTAGAGGTCCCGGGTTCGATACCCGGGTCGGGAGAAATATTTGCAAGACCTGCATTTATTTCTCTCGTGACTTTGGGTGTACACTTTGTTGATGAAATAAAAATAAAAGTAATTTATGGTTATCTATGTGTATTTCCATGGCACCCGCGATACAGGGTTTCCCTACTGCGGGGCTACGAGTATGTACGTTATTATTATTATTATATTCTATATTTATGTTAACCGTTATTGTTTAAATTAGCGACAATATTAACATTGCACACCATTTTTTTTAACCCTAAAATCGAATCACAGAAAACGTTTCACTTCGAATGCACGAGTAAAACTTGCATGAGTCTCACTGCAACACACAGGGTTTTCCCTAGTGCGGGGCAAAAAAAGAGAAAAAAATAGTTTTGGAGAAAACCACGACCAAAGTTTATGACCCGTATTTAGTATTTTTTTTAAATAAAATTCTGGTAACTAAATCGTTGCAGCAAAGTAATTCGTTAGATTGTTTTTTGAAAGGCCATACTTGTATATTACAAAAATTTTTTGGTTGCGCTGGCACATATGGGCTGCGAGAAAAACGCTATTAAGCAATATTTTACTTAATTTTTTCTGGCTTTATTATATGCTACTTGGATTTGCAACTTACTTTAAAATCTAGCTACACATCGGGACATTCAAGTTTTCGGGACATCGCCGGGATTTTGATGCTATGATATTTGAGTATAGGTGGACAGGTTTACTAATGTAGTTTAACAACTAATTTTGTGTAGATTTCAAAAAATGGTCAAAAGGAAGTTTTTCTTTATTTATTTAGGATATTCCACAAAGAAAATACTACACATTAAATAGTGAACCATCCTACCTAAGGAACGTCACAGCATGCGATAGCAACAATTTGAAACAAACTATATAAAAATTATGACGAAACAAAGAGAAATTATTTGAATTTATGCATACATATAACTATTAAATAAAAAAATACTCGTAATTAATTAAAGAAGTGAGAAAAACTTAGGAGAAATGACGAAAATATTTAGTAATGTTCACGGCTTGGCTACTTAAATAACTATCCTATTCCCAACTATTTGAATAGAAACTAGGGTTGTTGCGAATATCAGCATTTGCATCTGCGAATATTCTGTATGAATTAAAATATCCGTATCCGCATTCATCGATGCTGACATTAATTGTGGATGTTCGAGTGGTGGCATGCAAAAAAACTACAAAACTTCCAGAAACAGACTGTTAACCAAAAAAGCACAGATCAACTACAGAAAGTAAACTTTCGTAGTAATGGAACTCCTCCCAGTTCCTATTTTAGCCGGCAAGCAGTAATGTCAGCAAGTGTTTCGGTTTTGTGGTTTCGGAAATTACAGGCACATGGGACTCGTCAACTTATGTCTCTGGGCGACGGGCGCAGTGGCAGTGACCCTCAAATCTTTGCGATTTAAAGCTCTGAGGACACTGCAACTGTTATGGACAGGCGTGTAGCTTACCATCATACTTTTTTATCCGGTCACTTGATATTATAAAAAAAAAAATTAAATATTTGTATTTCTGTGAGCTCTGCTGTTGTTTTTAGATATAACTTAGATACATTTCCACAACAATTAAGCTATAAGCAGATTAATTCTTTTGCTAATAATGTCACAAAATCATTGAAATCATATTTTATTATAATACCAAAAAAAAGCTAAAAATTTTTCATGTAGACAGCTTCAGTGAGGAGGCACATTTTTCGCGTTTTTTTTAAATACTCCCGCATCAGCGTCCGTTGATTTTCTAAAAAAACCTGCACAACAACAACCCTTAATCCGTGGGGTCTCAGTGCCCTTTCATTCTATAACATGATATCAAAAACCTTAATAAACCGACTAGGGACTTAACGGCTGGCAGCTATCTTGTCCAATGTATCTGATATAAGGGGAAAATGCTGTCGTCATTTTGAACACCCGCGGGACCAAAATTTCACCCGTTTATTTAAGCTTTTGACGTATTACATCCTTGTATTCTTTTATTATTGACGACCTCGGTAGCGCAACGGTTTGCCCTGTGGGTGATGGACGATTAGGTTCTGAGCTTGGTTCCCGGTTGGACCAATTTGGGAAAACGACTTTTGTAAATTGATTCTGGTCTGGATGTTGTGGTGGATCAGGTAATTGGCGTGATGTTTTAGCATATCATTATAATTATTGCTTAAAAGTTTCATATTTCATGAGGAAGAATTATTATCAAATGACGGTCAAATCGTTGATGGTAACCTACACGCCCATCCATAAAGTTTTAAATCGCAAATATCTGAGGGATACTGTCACTCGCATGAGCATTTTTTTTTTATTTGTTTGTTGTCAGAGAATGAGTAATTAAAGAGACGTAAAAATAAAAAAATGATTCATTTTCAATGCAATTTCCGATTGGCGCCAAATAACTTTTTCGTGTTCTTTTTTAAATTGCTTATTATTGTCTAATATTTACAATAACTGCGCTGTACATGTTTTTTTTTAAATATTTTTAATGATTTCTTTTAATGTTGCATTTTTTGCATACATCAGAATTTATTTTGAAAAATTGGTGTGCTGTGCTATGTATTTCTTTATTCAAGTTTTTACGAAAATACTTTAGTGGCATTGACATATAAAGCTATTATATCTAGTGACGTCTGACTGACTAAAAGAACAATAAATTATTTGTATTGTATTGTATTGTACTACGAGCAATTTTGTTTGGCAATATGTTAGGTACAATCTGAAAACGAAAAAACAAAAAACAAAATATTGTTCAAAGGCAATTGTTTCATGAGAAACATTATTTTATAAAAATGATAGCGTAGTAATTGCAGTAATTTCCTGGATGATTGTTTACCTAAAAAAATCCTGGTTTCTATGACAAGAAAAAAAATTGCTATCTAATAACGTAAATCTACATCTTCGCTTATCTGTGGAAAATGGTAATAAAATTAAAGAAAATTTTCTACGTATAAATTATGATTGGGGTAGGTGTATACTTACTAAAGGTATAATGAGTAGGCTTAATAAAATCAATTATGTACACAACACTTCACATTCACAATACACAATTATGCTACAACACTATTATAATAATTAAGTTCCTTCGTATTGAGGACGTTTCATGTTTATGGAGAAAATGTTTTGTTACAATACGTTAGGGGATGCACGCCATGTTTTTTTTACGCAAGTTTTTGAAATTTGGTACACGCCTTTATTTTTTTTATCTGTTTTTTATTTTTTCATCGCTGGGTCGGGCAGCGCGGGGCGGTCGCGGCGCGCGCACTGTGCCAACTTCAGCTCGATGCGCGGGGCCGAGTTACCTCTCGCCCTGCGCGAACTTCACGCCACTCCGGTGACCTCGATTCGTGCCATGAATTATTTTCGAAATGGCAACGCACTGAGTCGGTGCATGCACGTCCTTTTTCTTTATTTTCTTTAGTGTATATTGAGTTTCGACTGTAGAATGACTTTATTATTCCTTCAAAATAGATATATAGATACACTTTATTAACTTATGTGACGTAAATAAGGATTAAACACAAAAGTAATAACGTTATTGTCATAACAGTGAAAGGGCGAATGCACCATTTTGAAAATTTTTTTCAGGGGCGCATGTTTCAGGTTTTAAAGACTGCTTTTAAATATTTAAAATTCACTTTATAAAAGAAAACGTAAATATTTTAAGATGGTTGTGAAAAAGTAAAACACGCTTCCCAAAATTTTTTTCAAAATGGCGCTGTCGCCATTGTTAATTAAAAAAAAATCACACTCCCTGCATGGGCGAAGTTTGAATTTAATTAGGTAGTGTTGTATAATGTATTATAGTATATAATAATGTGAACAGATCAAAGTAAAAATAAAATTCTATTCTATAGACAGACAACAGAACTAAACTAAAAGAAAATCTGTGTTGCGTGTTTACACTATACAGATTTTCTTTTAGTTCTTAACGTCGTTCGTTGTACAAGAATTTTGTAAGTTGTGTATGTATTTCCAGTAGCATGTACTGATATATTAACTATACACGCTTGATCGAAAATATATAATGGGGGATCAAAATTTTTAACATCATTTTTATGATTATTTGGATACTGGACAGGTAAAACGTCTTAACGTACATTTGCAAAATATTACGGGAGAGCAATTTAAAGTGTTTTTTTCTCACACTCTAATTTAATTAGTTATTTGGAAAACTAGAAAGTTTTAGCTTGACCATTTAGCAAATAAAATGAGAGTTATGATTTTTTTTTCTTGAAAAATTACTTAGGTAGCTAGCCATGGTACAGTTTGATTTCACCTACCACCGTGCTCTGCAGTGCGACGCATAAATGAGTTGATTTTTTCTTTTTTAGCCTCGCACTATCGAAACTCTGTGCCGAGGGTGCCATGGACACACATATAGACAACCATAAATTACACAAAAACTCATGATATAAATAATTGTAGGCCATATACACTTTTCCTGGCCCGATAATTGAACCCGGAACCTCTGCGTGGCAAATCAGCATGTTCGGCCACAGAGGCAGTCTACGTTAACGTGGAGTTCCTTTCAACATCATTCGGAAAACAAAACGTAAAAAATAAAAATAATAAAAGTTTGTTTACACGTTATTTGTTTTAATTCCCTTTTCCGTGTAGTTCGGGTGATATTAAACTTCGTGTGGCCCACTTTGACACGGTGTAAGCTCTTGTTATTGGTAATTGAGCGGATTAGAGTATTAATTCCGCTTAAATGGTATAATCTTGTAAGTAGAAGTGAACATTTTTTTAAATGGATGATTGATATTCGAATAATCTAATTTGAAATGTTTTTTCCGGTCTAATTTCGGGCATATTTGATTTTTGAAAGAAACCAACGTTTCGGGTTTTTACAAGAACGATAGTCACAGCTACTATTGGGTTATTTTCCGAAAAAATTCAAATAGTGGAAAAATTCTATAAAAATTTCAGAAAAATTGGAAAAATATTATTCGAAAGCTCATATTATGTTCTTCGTTTAGAAATAACTTTTAAAGATTTATTTAGCGTGAATTATAAAATAAAAATGTATAGATAATAACGCTCACACTCAACATAGCCCCGCACTAGGGAAACCCTGTGTCGCGGGTGCCATGGACACACACATAGACAATCACAAATTACACCCAAACTCACGAGAGAAATAAATGTAGGCCATACAAACATTTCTCCCGGCCCGGGAATCGAACCTGGGACCTCTGCGTGGCAGTCCGGCATGGTAACCGTTCGGCCACAGAGGCAGTTGAAGCATAGATGAAAGCAAGTTAGAGAAAAGCGAGATTTAAAATGATTAGACAATAGCGAGAAAAGATAATCATAGGTAAAAAAAACTTTATAATGGCTTTATCGTTTTCGTTCAGTATCTTCAATTTAACGGGTATCAACTGTCAAATGTGGAAAAGTACGGTTATCTATCAGAAGTCCGAATTGACATTTTCCAGAAATAATGTTTGCTCGAATTTTCAGAACCTCGAAAGTAATTTTTAGAGGAAAATATTTTTTCTTTTAAACCTAAATTAACCAAACCTAATCGTGTCTTTGCGATAAACATCCAACAAATCCTGAACGGTTTCGTTATAATTCGATGTTTATTGTAATAAAAATTCGAACAAACGTTATTTCGGAAAAAAATTCGAGTTTGTGATAGATTCCGAAAAATACAGGAAAAATATAAGAAAAATATTCGGAAAATATTTATTCTTCTAAAAAATACCATTTTTTTTTCAAAGTAGACATTTATCCATGACCCAATACTAACAGCTCACTTGTTGGTTTGTTTGAAAAAATAAATACACGGGACTCTATTTCTATAAAAATTGTTCCATTTTCGAACAATTTGACAACATTAAATAAAGCATTAATAAATTAAAATAATTCAAAATTATACTTAGTAATTAGTAATAAATATTGCAAGTCTCAGGGTGACGGGCGCAATGGCAGTGCCCCTCAGATCTTTGCGATTTAAAGCTCTGAGCAGCACTGCTACTGTTGAGGACAGGCGTGTCGCTTATCACTAGCCGCACGACTTCTTCGTCCCGTTACTTGGTATAATACAAAAACCGTTTTTACTGTTGTTTGTTTCCTTTACAAGTTTTTAATAAAAACTTTTATTATTTTAAAGAGGAAGTTTTGGCAAGTCAATTCAAATTCAAACATACGGAGATTGAAATATGTGTATCTTTTTTTTTAAGTATATTTGTGAATGTTCAGTAGCAATATCTTTCGCTAACAGCCCCATCTCTTTCTACATTAGTTTTGATTAGAGTGGCCCTTCCTACCGATCCTAAGGGTATACGAGAAGATCACTTTTCGCTAACAGTCCCATATCATTCTACATAAGTCTTGTTTATAGCGCCCCTCCCTATCAACATCTTGGTTATGCGGGAAGGGCGCTATGACCTGTGCGCGCACAGGAACCTTACAAGTTTAAGTTCTGAACCCAGAGCAGCCAGTGTCACAGACCTCTGTCACTTGCCTTCATCCAGATAGGACGGCTTAGGGGTTGCCACCGCACTACCAAATCTCCTCATTGGTGGCGGAGCTGTAAGGCACGCTCACTTCCTGACACCGAAAAACGACATCTCTCTAGTACCCAATAACCTAAGCGGCTGTAGGGGCCGGAGGATATCTAGCTTATCCTCTACTAGCTCTCCGGGCTAGTACCGGAGCTATGGCAGTCGCAGTGTCCTGCGACAATGTCCGGACATAGCTTCCAACTTAAAGGGCAATTCAAGTGCTCCGCGTGTCTCCTCGCTTCAGGCCCTCAACTAGATCGCTACTAAGACGCACTACCTGCTCACGAGACAGACGCCCCGGCCACACCCAACCGGGGCAGACAAACATGTCCGTCTTTGCAGCTAACCACAAACCCCAGCGAGAACACACCCAAGTCCGGGATCGCCAGGGACGTCCGTGAAGATGTATAACTGGAGGAGGGCTTGGCCCAGACACCCGCCGGACTCTAGTCTTACCGTCGAGCCCGTGGTTTCTCCGGAAAACCCTATCTCTCGGGTCAGTAGATAGGGCCAACCTTTCGCTAACAGTGAAGGAATATCAACATGATGAAACCTGTCGTCATAGACGTTTCAAAACGCGTTGGACTATAGACTAAAGCCTTTCATATTTATATTCGCTATTGGATGTTTGATGTATTTGGAAAAATATTTAACGTACAGACAAATATGCAAACACTGACCAATATGACCGTCTACACATGGAGCTAAATATGGAGTCAAAATAATGAATATGACCACAGTGCTATGTTCCGTGACATGCGTGTTTTTGTTACCGTATCCACCGAAAAACAGCGTCGTAACTCCTTCAGTGAGACGACAATTAGGGTCGAAACACAAAACTGCCAATCAGAAAAATGCGACGCGAATTGCTGCGATGCGATTTCGTACGGCAAGGTATCTCACTGCCATGGTTCCGGTAACCATTCCTTCGACTATCATCAACGGTACTTAACAAATGTTTTTAACTAGGTAGTGTGTTGCACTGCAGTTATTGATAAGACAGTATGGGAAAAAAACACAAAGAAGATTAATTTGCAATTTGAAGAAAGAAGAGCAATTTGCAAATTCTTGCAATGCATCATGCGAGCTCGTAGATTTGTGCGATGCGACGTCGCATCCCATTTGTGTGTCGACCCTAACGCTGAGTGGATGATGGATTCTGTAACAACACTGCACACACGCTTCCAGTTTTGTTAATTATTATTCGTTACATTAATAATTTATTTAAGTTATCTTCTGCTTTATATTTGAATTATTATTATTATTATTATTATTATTATTATTATTATTATCATCTTTTTTTTTCTTCATTTCTTTCTTCTGCTGGCGAGACGGGCGTGAAGTGTTGAGCAAGAAATACCGACTACCTAGGTCGACGAGAAACTCTCGATCTTATATGGAGCGCCCTCCTGGCAGGGAAGCGTTCAGGACCGAAATTTGCCGACTTCTGTGTGGCGATTATGAAAGCAGTAGCGGAAGCCAACAAGGCGAAAACAAAGCCTTCGTAGTGCGGAGGGTACAACATGGGTGAAATTATTACTTAAACTCTGACGCAATATTTTATTTGATTTATTATATTTTTTTTAGAATGATTTACACTATTTTATTATTTTTTACAATTTTATGACACTATTATTATTTTAACAATTTTGCAAATGATTTTATACAATTTAGATTAATTAAAAACATGGATTTTACTTTATTTCAATTTTAAAATTTTTAATGCTGACAATTTTTA